GCGCTCCGTGCGCCGCCTGCGCGAGGTGTTTGAGGTGTGCGGCCGCGACCCCGACGGCTTCCTGCGCGTGGAGCGCGTCGCGGCGCTCGGACTGCGCTTCGGCCAGGGTGAGGAGGTAAGGCGGCCGCGCCCGGCCGGTCCTCGGCGCCACTGTCCCTGAACCCGCTGCCCTCGCGAGCCCGGCTTCGGTGCCCTCCGCGTCGCCCCTCCCCCAGCTTACCGGCCGTGTCACCCACGCCTGGGACCAGTCTCCGCACTCCACAAGCCCAAGGCGGAGGCTTGCTTCGCGTGAGGAATCCTGCCTGTGCCAACCCCATAACCTCTGCTAGGGTCAGGGACCGCGGGCCCGGGGTCACCCCTGCCCAGTCGGACCCTTGCTTTCCACCCTCAGCCCCGGGCTGCTGGCGTAAGCGTCAGGCTCAGTGCAGGTTCCTCTGAGCAATCTTTGAACCCGGTGAGTTCTTGGGGATGGGAGCTGTCAAAATGTGGCCTTGGAACCCCCATCCTCTGAAGACCAAGTCTCGGTGGAGGTTGGGGGGGCACTCTGTGCACCCTGCTGGGCCTTGCCCAAGGGACAAGCAGGGGCACTTAGCCTTGACTGCAGCCCCTGCCACAAACACAGGAGGAGGGTCTGTTTGGGGCCATCCTGGATTCTCGCCCAGTGCCTGGTGACCTCTCATGCAGGCCTGGCTGGCAGCTGACTGTGTTGGCTGCGACAGGCCAGCAGAGCCAAGCCTGGGAAGTGATAGCTGAGCAGCATGTTTTCCCGTGGTGTGGCCACATTCATGGTGGAAAGCAGGAGTTGTGTGGATTGTTAGCATGGCTGGAATCTCAGGTTTGATGCTGCCAGTGTAATATCAATAAATGCCAGAGGCTAGTACCTCTCACCACCGTCAGCACAGGGACTGTGTTTTGGGGGAGGAGTACAAGCCACTCACCTGACTGGAGAGCATCCCTCACCCTTAATCTCCTTCCCACTGAGCAATGGTCACGGTTCTCGGTTCTCTCACGGGGACAAAAGACCTGAGCAGTGGATTTCCAAGACCACCCAAGACCTCAGGCCTTACATAGGGAGCCTGGTGTCATGGGTTTCTAGTGGGCACTAGCTGGAATTCTGTTCCCAGGACAGGAAAGGCCTGGCATCTTGGAACATGGGTGGTGCTGGGTAATGACCAGTGGACTCATGTCTCCTTGCCTGACAAGTGGGAGGTGATGATGATCCCCCCTGGGTACCTGGGCAGGGGCCAGGACCTGGGAATCCCTGAGAGTAGCAGGTGGAAGAGAGTGAGGTATGTGTCAGGTTTGAGGACTCGGGTACCTATCCCAGGCTGCTCATGCTATGGTTCCTATTGGAGCCTGTCCTCCGCCTCTGCTGGCTTTGCTCAGGGGCATTGCTTGCCACCACCAAGGTCTTTCTTCCCCCAAAGCCAGCAAAACCTCCCCTTTGCAGTGGCTCCCATCTGAGGTAGGCTGAGCGGTCCCCTAGCACCTAGGATGCTGGTGGCAGGTGTAAGAAATCACCCAGCTCTGGCTGAAACAGGAGATTCCAGAACCATAGACCCTCAGTCCTGGAATGGCCTCCCAGAAACCTCTGGCAGGAGGCCACTGGCCTCAACCACATATGCTCCAAGTCTCACAACCTTACCCTCAAGCTGGACAGCTCCTATTTTAGAGACTTCTACATTCAAGATACAAACCTGCTTGTCACTTAGTCATCTGGTTCTGCACAGGGGCTCATGTGGATTTCTCTTCTATGTGGCAGCCTTTAAATATTTTAATACAGCACTGCTGCCGTTTCCCTCCTCCCATCTTGCCAGTTTAATGTCAAATAACCCCTGTCCAGAAGTTACTTTCTTACACCCAGAAGAGGCCAAAACCTCTGGCTTCTGGCCCTGGAGTTGCCATTGACTAATCATGTGACTTTCTCTAGCAGTTATGTGAAGGGCCTGGACCAGGAGACCCCGCCACATCACTGGCAGCTGGGGGGGGGGGCTGCCTATTCAGTAGTGTCCATGTTCTTCATTCATGATAAGTTTCTGGCCTCTGAAATCTTCAAGGATCTCTTTTAGAAACCTCTGCCATGGATCCTTCATGGGGAGGAACAGTGATTTGTTTCCCTTATTAAACCATAACCATTTATTATTACAAAAGTGGTATATATGTAGTACAGCAAATTGGAAATACAGACAATCAGAAATAAAAGTATTATGTTCCTATCCCCCAAGGAGCCTTGGGTGATCTTTTTGGTCACATTCTTTTAGAGCTGTTTCAATGCTTATATGTAGATTTTCTCCATGAAATGAGATCATACCCTGCACAGTATTTTGTAACCTAATTTCTTTCTAATAAATGATTATCACCTTTCTGCTTCAATAAATTTTTGGCACATTTTGTACAGATACCTTTTCCAGATTTCTCATTTGATCTGAAAATGTCCACTTTTTAGGCTGATTTGTTTAAGACCATTTTCTCTCCAGGACTGTGTAGTGCATCTGGCTGTCCACCGCCCCTCTCCCTCATAACTCCGATTTGCTGAAGAGATCAGGCCTGTTTGTGTCATTAATTTCTTGAATCTAAGCTTGTTACTTGATCCTTATTCTGATTAAATTTTATCTTGTTCATTTCATCACGTTGTATCACTGAGAGAGACTTTGACATCCCATCTCTGTCACTCTCAGATACTGCCTGCAGCTGGAGAAGCAGATGCTCTTGTGCTTGGATATCCACAAGGCTGATTAAGAACACAGGGCAGGACCACGGACAGGGCCCGAGGCACTGTAGGGACACTTCTATTCACAGAGGGAGACCTATGGAACAGCGTTTTGCATCCCAGTTCACTACACATCAGATTCGCAGATGCAGTGTCCATCAGAAGCATAATTTCCCCCTACAAGCAGAGCTCCTTCAAAATTGCTGTGTACTCCAACAGTTGGTGTTTCATTTGTTAAAAAAAAAAAATCAAACAGCAACATTGATTTTCCAGCCCATGGATGCCCCAGAGTGGGTAGTTATCACTCATTAGATATGGGGTTCAATGTCTGCATTTTACCAGCTACCCCCAGAATACCAAGGATACCAGGATCAAATGCTTTGCAAAAATTACAATATAACTAGGTTTCAGGGTGTGAAATAAAATGTCCATAAGGCCATACAAGATTAGATAAATGCATAATTAAATGAATGAATATATAATAAGAAAATCTCCCATACAGTAGAAATCCAAATAATTTATGTAGCTAATTCTCCCATCAAGGAGGTGAAGTGAAACTCTGTACAGCTTTAAATAAGAAATGTACAATGACTTTCTTCTAAAGAATGCAGTATGGAAAGAAGGGGAAAGAGCAGCTTCACAGTGAAGGAACCTGATGAACAGTCCAAGAATGTGATCAAGGTCAACATCAGAAGTAATAAGTCATATAGATGGTATGTGCCCTTAATATGACATAATAAGAATGACACTTTACCTCTGTAGTTTCCCTTCCCAAACCCATAGCCCCAGTGTAATCATGAAAAAAATATCAGACAAATACCAGCTCAGGGGCATCCTACCAAATACCTGATGGTTTCCCCTCAAAATGGTCAAGGTCATTGAGGACAAGGGAAGTCTGAGAAACTATCACAGCCAAGTAAAACCTAAGGAGTCATGAGGACTAAACGTAAAGTGGTATTCTGGATGGGATCCTGGAAGAAGAAGAGAATGTCTAGTTAAAAACTAAGAGTCTGAAAGACGTACAGGCTTCAGTTGATAATGTTGTATGTGTATTGGGTTGATCTGTGATAATCCCCTGATTTATTGACCTAGGACTCATAGCAGAAAAGAGAAGACAATACAATTTTTAAAAAATGTTTTTCAGACTGCTTTTTTTAAAAAAAATAGCTTTATTTTATTATTTTATGTGGTGCTGAGGACTGAACCCAGGGCCTCACATGTTTTAGGCAAGTGCTCTACCACTGAGCCACAACTCCAGCCTCAAGACAGTAAAATTTGTTGAAAACTTTGCCCTTAAGGATGCAAAGATTGGGGGCTGGGGATGTGGCTCAAGCGGTAGCGCGCTCACCTGGCATGTGTGCGGCCCGGGTTCAATCCTCAGCACCACATACAAACAAAGATGTTGTGTCCGCAAAAATAAAAAAAAAAAAATTTTAAAAAAGGATGCAAAGATTGGAGGAGCAGGGAGGATCCCATTATTCTGACCCTGATGGTGTACAGCACATGGAAGAAGAGTCAGGAAAAGTACATAAAGTGATGGCTGTGCCCCGAGCCCACATTAGCTTCTGATTCATTTCTATTTTTCTAGCCTTTCTAGACCTTTGCTTACTCCTCCATTAAGTGGGGTTGATAATAATCTCCATGCTATAGGATTTGGGGGAGGCTTGAATGAGTTAATATGTGTAAAGAGTCTCATGTAAGATGGGCGCCATGATGCACACCTATAATCCCATCAACTCAGGAGGCTGAGGCAGGAGGATTGCAAGTTTGAGGCCAGCTCAGCAACTTTGCAAGAGCCTCAGCAATTTAGTGAGACACTGTCTCAAAGTAAAAATTAAAAAGGACTGGGGGTGTAGCTCAGTGGTAAAGCACCCCTGGGTTTAATCCCCAGTACCAGATAGATAGATAACTAGCCAGCTATAACCCAGTATCTGCACAGACAAGAAACAGAATTGTATCTTCTGCTCTTGTTATTATTATTCTCTAAAAAGTTACAAATATGTTCAATAGGCTGTTCTAGGCTGAGGATTTGTTGGGGATTAAGGTCAAGAACTAGGACCTGTCTCAGCCTCTCCTCCTTGTCCACCTCTGATCTTTCAGCTCCTCTTCAGTGGTCAGAGAATGGAAGGCACTAAAGCAGGCAGAGAGGGCTGGGGGTGCAGCTTAATGGTAGAGCACATGCTCAGCATGCACACTAGGCCCTAGGGTCAACGCCGGGTGGTGGGGGGGGGGGCGGGGAACAGGAGGGAAAGCAGTCAGAGATATCTTGTACAGCATTTCCCTTTTATATGTTCTTCTCTCTTTTCCAACTTGAAGACCATCCTTCATGCTGAAAAGAAATGGAAACAAAAGTAGTGAAGAGGTCTCTGCTGTCCATTAATCCCATACCTTCTCCTCTGGGCTTT